TGGGAGACAGGAGAGAAGGGGTAGGTCCAAAGGCCCTCTGGCAGCGCAAGACCTCCTTCTTGAGGCCAGGCCCAAACTGCTCCTCTCCACAGGGTGGGCAAGGAGCCCTCCCTGCCCCGCCCCCCTCGCCTCAGCCCAAGGTGCCAGGGGCTGGACACCCACCACAACGGGCCTTCCTAAAAGAGGCCTCTTGGTTCCTGGAGGGACACCCCCAGGGCCAGGGCAGCAGCTCTGGCGGCAGGCAGCTGGGAGGTGCTGGCGCAGTATCCTGGTGTTGCCCTGCTCTGGGGGAGCTGGACACCATCCGAGACCTGGCTTTCTTTCCCAGGCTGAGTGCTCCTCCTCAGCTGCCCTCCGCCCATGAGGAGAGAGCCAGCCAGCCGGCCGGCCGGCCAGCGAGCCTGGGAATGGAGGGGGCGGCAGGCCTGATCCTGAGCCGGGCCAAGTCTAGGCTGCCCGCCCATGGACGTTGCGTGGCCAGAGGCTGTGAAGGGGCTGCCCCAAGCCCCCACCTGGCAGCCCAGAAGGAGGGAGGGAGGGAGGGAGGGAGGGGGGGAGAAAGCCAATGGTGGGAGACAGGAGAGAAGGGGTAGGTCCAAAGGCCCTCTGGCAGCGCAAGACCTCCTTCTTGAGGCCAGGCCCAAACTGCTCCTCTCCACAGGGTGGGCAAGGAGCCCTCCCTGCCCCGCCCCCCTCGCCTCAGCCCAAGGTGCCAGGGGCTGGACACCCACCACAACGGGCCTTCCAAAAAGAGGCCTCTTGGTTCCTGGAGGGACACCCCCAGGGCCAGGGCAGCAGCTCTGGCGGCAGGCAGCTGGGAGGTGCTGGCGGCCAGTCCCCTGGGCAGCTGGAGCCCCTGAGTCGCTGGGAGGAAGCAGCCCTTCCTGTCCCACATGCCACCCAGGCCCAGGGATGAGGCAGGCCCAGGTCAGAGGTTGCCAAGGCAACAGGCGGACCGCAGCAGCAGCAGGGACCACGTCCATTTCCACTCAGAGGAAAAACAAAGCAGGGCTGGCCCCGCCCTCGGAGCAGGAAAGTCTCCTTCCACCCCCACCCCCTCCCCCTCGCGCTCCCCAAGGAATCAGGGTCTCCGCTCAGAGGGGGTTTCCTGCCTTCCATGACAGGGTCTTCCAGCCCCTTCGGCAGGACAAGGGAGGAGTCCGCCCCTTGGCCCAGCTGCCGGCAAATGGATTTCTGGCCACGCTGTGTGTGGCCCCCAGTTTTTGGGTGTCTTTTGAAGCCTCCCACCCAGCTCCAGCCTTGGGAACACAGTGCTCAGAAAAAGGAGGAAATGAAGGTCATTGAGGAAGCATCTGGAGAAGCAAGTTTGGACCAAAGAAAGTTCGCACTGAATGAAGAGGCTGTCCAGGACGGTCGAAGACGTTGCCTGCTTTCTCTCTCATGACCTCCCTTTTCTCCCCGTTCACAGACTAGCTTGGCGACTTCTTTGGAAACAGACGTCACTCTGGATCTGAAACTGAAAAGGAGTCCCTCGCCAAAGGACAACAAGGGGAAGAGGACAGGATGTGTCCGTGGGTGTCTTGTCCTTCCCAGAAATGGCACTTGTTGTGAAATGCTATAGAAGGGAGGGAAATAGACAAGGGAGGGAGGAGAGACAGGAAGGTCTCAGATGCCTCTAAAAGGTGACCCTTCTGACGGGGCTGTTCAAAGAGCGACAGGGCCTCTCTGTAGGCCAGCTCTAGGCCTCTCGTCAATGCTCTGATGCAGCCAGTCAACCGGTCCCTCCTCCCCCATTTGCCAGCACTAGCCGCACTGATGGAGGCAACCCACCCCCATCTGCAGTTGGAGACGAGTGTACAGGCTTAAGGATGGGCCAACAGGACTCACCACCCTGAGACCACCGGAAGCTCTCGCCCAGGCACCCAAGATGGGAAGGGCAAAAGAAGCATGATGACCCACCCACCCCAGTCCCCCAGAGCTGTTGATGTGCCCCCCATTCCCTCCTGTCATCTGATGGTGGCAGTCCATTCCACCATTCATCAAGAGCAAGGTAGCCAAGCCCTTCTCCAGAGAATGAAAACGGTCTGGATTCTGCCTTCCAAGGGCTTGGGAAAGGCCTTCCTTTCTTCTGGCTTGCCAGATGGCTGCTTTCTGAAGGAAGGCAAGGAAAACATTCCCAGAAATGGCTGGCAGCCGGTTAGCTGCCTGGGTGTCTCTGCTTCTTTTGGGTTGGGGGGAGGCCCTGGTATCACCACGTCTTTGCAAGCCCCCTGAGCCCTATACCCTCGTCTACTTTGGCTACAACTACCCCATCCACAGGGCAGGAGAGAGGCCCTGGGGGGGGGTCTAGAAGCAAAGGTCTCCCTCCACATGGGGGTGGGGTTCCCCTAAGAGAATTGATGGAGGCTTCTGTGGCTGGTCTGGTCTTTCTTCCACCACCACCACCACTACCACCACCCCCATCAGCCCAGTGATGGGCAGGAAGCTGGGAAAGGCAGTTGGGGGAGAAAGGCCCCTCTTCTTGTTCTCGTCCTCCCCCAACCTGTCCTGCCACTCGTAGAGTGTGCAAGGGATTTTGTGGTCATTTGGGGACGGTGAGAAACGCAATCTGTGCATGCTCAGAAATTCCCCTTGTGACAGCTGAGCTTCACACACACACACACACACACACACACACACACACACACACACACACCAGCTGATGGGGTTTGCCCCAGGGGAAGCCCTCCGCTAAGACGAGTCCCCACCCCTTGTCAGCCACACCCGGGCAGCGGCAGTGCCAGAGAGTCCTGCGTCTTCCAGTCTTCCCAGCGCTCCCCCCTCCTCGCACTCGCAGGTGGACTGGATCCCCCCCCCCAATCTCCCGCGGATTAGGCAGAGAAATGCAAGGAATGGCCGGAATGCGCCACGTCTAGGCGGCGGGCGGGGCAGGCGGGCGGGCGGGCGGAGGGA